CTAGCAGGTCAGAGGTTCTGCAGGTGAGACCAGCAATGGGTCTGCTGCTTCAATCACAAACTGTGCTGGATTAAGATTCTAAAAGAAATTTACAACAAGACACAGGGCATGGTACTCGATTAGATGCTGATTTCGACAAACCAGCCTCGAAGAATATTTGAGGGCCAGTTAGGAAATTGGAATCAAAACAAGGAATTAAAGGAGATGAACTTTATTGAATACAAAGTTAGAGATTGTTATCAAAAAAAAGCAGATGACAAAACTGTAATACATCATTTTGGTTAAAAAAAATGTGCAGACATCTATGCATACAAAAAGACCTGAGAGAGAGAGAGAGAGAGAGAGAGAGAGAGAGAGACAGACAGACAGACAGACTGTGTGTGTGTGGTGTGTTTTGCTTGCCTTTATTTTCTAATTTCCTACTATTAGAAAATGTTGTTTCTGTACTAAATACATGAAAAAGAAGTTACATAAGGCTTTGGATTTTACCACCAATCTACAGAAGGTCATCTTAGAAATGATCTGTTACCTTTCTAAAATATGCTAAGTGGCCTGTCCATCAGTGGCATGGAGGATTCCTAGAATGACTTGGGAAAAACTCACAAGTTGGAACTTCATTGCTTAGATGACTCTCTGACAAATCAAAGATTTCTTCCCCAGATGGTGGCAACACTGTAAAAGCAACAACAACGACAACTAAAACCAGAGAAAGTCTAAGAGAGATGAGGTGATGGTCTGAGAGAAGAAATGAGAGCAACGTCCATTTTTAACAGGGGTGCTGAAATGCCTCCTCAAGCAAACTTCACCCCCAACTTCTTCATGTGAAAATGTTACCAGCAAAGTTCCGAAGCTCTAGAGGAAAAGTGAGACCAGCAAGGATTGAATGCAGCACTCGTCTCAGGGAGAAAACTTAACACCAGATACACCTGTTGGCAGAGTGTCTGTCTCAGAATCACACTTTGACAATAAAGACACACATTCACACCCATTTGTAAACTCACCTATCAAGATGTCTTTTGCTTTCAATCATCACTGTCAATTTTTGAAGATACACTATACACTCCAAAAGGGTGGCGATTTTCTCTATTACAGTTGCATACAAAAATCTATATGAAGAACAGCATGTTGCACAATCCTTCACTGATTTGCCAAGTTTTCAGAAGTGTCTACTGTGTGTGATGGTAACGTGGAACACAGAGACAGCCACAGATGCATTTCTATCTTCATGGAGCTTGCAGCCTACTGGGAAAGGTGGGTGGAAAACAAATACTCCCAAATAAGTGGGTTCCTGGAAATTGTTAAGTGTCATGAAGGAAAAGCAGGTGATGCTCTGAGATGAGAAGAGGGGAATCTGATTTACACTGGAAGATCAGGGAAGGCCTCCTGGAGGAAGTGACATTTGAGGTGTGACCACAGAGTTTGCAGGAATTAACCAGGCTGCCAGGCAGGAGAGCATTCCAGGAAGGGAAGACTGTTGTGTGGGAAAGGGTGCTGAAGCAGGAAACAGCCGGAAACAGTCACAGAACTGAAAGAGGCCAGGATGGGGCAAACAGAGGGGAAGACTGGCGTCCAGGGGGATCAGAGAAACAAGCCAAGACTGTGCCATGATCCACGCTGTTCAGGATGCAGGATTTTCTTCCAAGGGTGATGGGAGGAAGTTGGATACCTGAAGTGGAATAGTGGCAGGATCTAATGTGCACTTAACACCACTATGGGAAATTGGCTGGAGAAGGTCAACAACAGGCATGGGGGACAAGTTAGGAAGCGGCCAGTCCAGATGAGACATTACGGTAGCTTAGGCTAGCTACAGGGATCCAAACTACAGGCTGGGTGCCACATTCAGACCCACATCTGCTTTTAGGAATGAGGTTTTGCTGGAATGCAGTCCCCCTACTCGTGTATGTATTGTCCATGCAGCTTTCACTGTACAACTTGGGTAGCTGTGGCAGAGACCAGATGGCCTGCAAAGCCTCATATAGGCACCCTGTGGACCTTTACAGAAAAAGTTTGCCAACCCCCAGATAAGGGGTGGCAGTGGAAACAGAAATGGCTGGCTTCATGATAAACTGTCATCATGACTCCTGGATTCCACATTTGCAAATCCATCTACTACAATGTGTTCGCAACCCCAAAGTCAATACTCAGGATACTTTTGGTCAAGCAGGCGCATGCGCAGAGCAGCAAAAAAGTTACGCCGGCCAACACACACATTCCCAGCTGAGCTCCACCAAGGTAACACTCTGCCTTCCTGTTTCAGCTCTTATACTATCAACAAGTACCCTTTCAACAGTCTATGTAGTGCCACTTTTTTTTTTTCATTTTGGTGCTTTTTGTTACTGATTTTGCTGTTTAAAAGGGCCCGCAAGCACAGTGCGAAAGTGCTGCTTAGCACTGGTAAGCACAAGAGGGCTGTGATTGGCCTTATGAGAAATGCATGCACTAGATAAGCTCGTTCAGGCATGAGTTACAGTGCTGTTGGGCATGAGTTTGATGTTAATCAAAACTATATGCTAAAATATATGCTTAAACAGAAACACACATAAAACGTCATCACACCAATGTATGTAACACTATACCAACGTACAACATCTACCAACATACAACATTATTACACCAATGAAACTGATACTATGTATCGATCAGTCAATGGAAATATGACCAGAGGCTCACAGGTACATAACTCTGTGTCTCCCTTAGGAGTGATGACTCAGTATTCACTGATTCAGTGTTCCTGGTGACTTTAGAGAACACAACTACAGTGAATGATGAGAACGGCTACACTTGGGAGGCAAAAATCAATACAATTTGGTGATGGATTAAATGTTAAGTAAAACAAAGTCAAGGTGACTCTGGGTTTCTGATGTGAACTAATGGGTGAGAGAGGTGCCGTTTATGAAAATAAAGAATTCCGGAACAGGAGGATGTTTCAGGGGGTTGACCAAGACTTTTCCTTTGGAAGCGTTAAGGATGAGGTCCCTATGAGATATCCAAATAAAGAAGTCCAGTAGATTGATGGCTTTATGACTCTGGAGCTCAAAAAAGAAGTCTAGGTAAAGATACAACTTAAGGCGTCCCCAACAGAAAGAGGTAGCGCTGAAAACCTGGGAATGATATGTCACCTGCAGAGAAGGGTAGAATGACAGTAGGGCCCAGGCCTGAGAGCAGCACCCAAACAGGTGGGTTAACTAAAATCTTCATCTTGGTGGTTTGATTTGTTTAATATAACAGTACTATACTTTGGGCCAGGCATGGTGGCTCACGCCTGTAATCCCAGCACCTTAGAAGGCCGAGTCAGGCAGATCGCCTGGGGTCAGTAGTTGGCCAGGTCAGCCTGGCCAACATGGTGAAACCTCGTCTCTACTAAAAATACAAAAATTAGCTAGGCATGTAATCCCAGCTAATCAGGAGGCTGATGAAGGAGAATCACTTGAACCCAGGAGACGAAAGTTGCAGTGAGCTGAGATTGTGCCACTACACTCAAGCCTAGGTGACAGAACGAGACTCCGTCTCAAAAAAAAAAGAAGTATTATACTTTGGAGAGGAAATTAACCTGCTGATGTATCTAGAACCCAACAGATGTTCTCACCCCTTGACCTGGTAAATCTACTTTGGAGGACCTATCCTGAAATCCAGACAAACCTCAATGTTACATAGAATTACACTGAGGAATAACTCATGACAGTAAAACTGGAAATAACCTTAGCATTTGGGGAATGTTTATACTCACAAGACTAATAATATTTTCCTCTGTGAGTTCATCTGTAGATTCTAATCTTAGAAATTTCAACTCCTCCAGAGGTTTAATAAATATCCACTTCCATTTCCTTCAAGCTTTTTTTAAAAGGTGGAATATTTGCCTTTATCTGCTAAAATGCAAGCTGCTTCAGGGCAGGAGTTTTCTCCATTTTGCTCAATGCTGTACACTTGGCACCTAGTAGAGGCCCCAGAACTCTGAATGTGTTTTGAACCTATTTTTGTCAAGTTTCACATTTTAATCAGGTAGAATTTATGCTGGTGTAATGATGTGAGATGATGATACCCACTGAGATTTTTTGAATTACTCTCATGCTGTCCCATTCCCATTCAGCTAATCAGCTTTCCTTTCCCCATGGCTGCACGGCACCTACTCCGTCATCTGGTAAATGCTCTCAGACTATGGAACCTGAAATCTGGCTCCCCTCTTCTGCCCCACGCATGGGTCTGTCAAATTTTGTGCCAAATTTGAAGCGCTATGGTTTAACACTGGATAGAGCTAACTCCTTCACTACTCTTAGGGTCCATGCCTAACCTATGTCTACCACCTTATCTTTTAAGAAAAGCAACAGAAATTGGTCTCTCAAGTTTCAAAATACTTATCCAGATTTTGATTGAAACAAAGACCATTTATACTTGGAGAAGAACCAACGTATTCACAAGTTTCCCCCTCTCATCTAGAAGGGATGGGGAAGACTCTCCACTGCGCAAGTAGTGGTCAGGGGCCAGCTCTGGACCCAGAATGCCTGGAAGGGGTCCCATCTCTGCACTCAGGAGCTGCCTCACCTTCCTGTGCCTCTGCGTGACACTGTGGAAGCGGAACTTCCCTTGAGCATTACTACAGGGATTCAATGAGCTCACACAAGTAAAACCTCAGCGCAGAACTGGCAGTAGCAGGTGTGCTAAGTATTAGCTGTTATGACCGTCTTTCCATAATGCGGTTTTCCTTAGAGGTCTCAGTAAGAGTATTTCCAAGTCTTTGATCTGTTTTGCTCTCAAATGGGACTTGTGGCTTGGCTGTCCTCTACCGCACTCCTACATGCCAGCCACAGGTCTGCGTGCTGTATACTCACCACCGTACTTAATCCTTTTTAATGAACAGGACAAATGGAACAAGTGTCGCAGAAATCTGTGTTAGCGTGTTCGGTCTCCAGCTTGAGTGCTTCTTCTCCAAGGATCCCAGATCCTTCTTACTGCAGTCAGTCTTGCACCCCTTATTGTGCGTGGCATGGATCACTCTAACTTACCTGCGAGAAGCAGGGTTGCCTGCCAGTGAAGATAAAGGCATGCACTGGCGTCAGGTGGACTCAGGTTCAAGTTCTGGCTTGACCAATTACTTGTTATGAGGCCTTGCATACGTTATTTCATATCTCTAAGCCTCAATTTCCTCCTCTGTAAATGGAGAAAATCATAGAGCTCTTAAATATTAGTTAATTATAATGCATTATTATTGTGAGGATGACATTTGGCCCATTTTATTCTGGGGCCCCTGGATAAACTACAGACCAGCTGGCTCTGGATGAACAAGAGAAAGTGGCTCCTGCACTTTCTGACCTTCCCTGAGAAGATGTGGAGGCAGATGAGAGGAGAGGCAGACAGGAGGCTGGATCTGCATGTGCATATAGTTTCTGGAAGTCACGTCTACAAAAGGCAAAAGAGTTGCAAAGAATTCTAATGTCAGGCCCTTGACTCTCTCACATCCAAGAAAAGCTTCCATCAAAACGACCACCTTCAGATTTTCAGTATTTCTGACTTTTCGTTCTGTACTCCTCTAAAACAATGGTCCTCAACTGGAAATGCGAATTCTCAAGCCCCACCACAGATCTACTGAATTAGAGACTCTGAGAGTGAAACCCAGCAATCTGTTGTAACAAGGCCTCCAGGGAACTAAAGGGCAGAGAGGTTGGAGAACCACTTCTTCCAGACAGTTCCTTACATAAATACACCTCAAAGAAGGTTCCACGTGTACCTCTACTTAGACCTTCATACCTACAAGTAAAACAAGGCAAATTCACACTCAAGGAACACAGTCAGAGAATACACAGGTAGGTAAGGGAGCCTGGCTCTGTGGGTAGACAAGTGGGAAAAAATAAATAGGTGGAGGCACAGAGGAGAGACATCATCGAAGATGGCAGGAGAAGCCATATAAGGCAGTGGCTGAAAGCCGCAAAACACAACAGCTGTCAGCTTTCCCAGGTTCTCTGCCAGGTTTCACCAGCAGAAGGAATATACTGGTTACTGAGCTACCTCGGCAAGCAACAGGAAATGGGTCAGTTTCATCAACTATGCTTTAGGAAGCAATCGTATGTATGAGACCAAGGTTGAGGAGGAAAAGGAGAGCAGAGGATGCAGAAATACAACCACCAGCCATATAAACAGGAAACATTTTTGAGCTGCCTTTGTTGCTTAAGTTTTTGAAACAAGGTGTCCCCTTATCAGTACTGCCTTTAGGACAGGGCAACAAGGGCTCAAGCCCTGAACCTCATTCGGTCGGGGCCAAGCTCACCCCTCCCCAAGAGTCTCTTGGAGACCAGGTTCTGGGTCCCTGGAGCCATGAGATTCCCCGTCTAAAAGGCTTCATGCCTGCTTCCAGGCCCTTTCCCAGGGCCTGTGGGTATGCACGTAGACCTGGAAGGTGGCCAAGAGGCACCCCTAGGTCCAAGGGGAGGCAGGAGTGGTGGCAGCTTGGACACACAAGACCAGGAGTAGAGAGAAAATCGGGTGTATGGCAGACTGGGGGCTTCACTTCACACTCTTCACCCAAGACCCACAAATGTCAAGGCAAGCTCACCCCCTAGTTTGTGTCTTACAACCATGAAAGTCTGAGTGTTCATCTAATTTCAAAGGCTGCTCATCTGGACTGAAATGCTTGCCAGACAGGTAGAGAGTAGCCCCAGACAGAGACTACGGCAACAGGAGCCCATTGTGGGTCAAACTGTCATGCCTGGAAACAAGAGGTGGGGCTGAAGTTTTGGTGATGTCAAAGAGATAGAAGGACTTTAAACTGTACCTTGGAAAATTAGTATTTTTTTTAAAAAGCTGCCTACTGACTTAAAAGTGCTTTGAGGTTCTGTTAAAATCATCAGGATTGTGCCGACTTCTCTCCTGTGATTTTTGTTGTTGTTAGTGTAAGGAGCTCATGGTGACAAGCTGCGAACTTTCTCAGGGAAACACAAGCAACCATGGAGGGCCCTGTGGCCTTGCTTTCCTCGGGAAACAGGGAACCACTCTGTGCAGGAGGGGCTCAGGGCAGCACTGTGGGCTGAAAGGGCACCAGGAGAACCAGAACTCAGGAGCTCCCATATGCGTCTGGGGAAAAAGGGGTGGCTCTGACATCCTGGTAGGAACCACTATACCCAGAGCCCTACCTGAAAGTGCAGCCTAGCGAAGCTCCATCTGGCATTCTGGAGCATTCTGGGGCTTCTGTGCACATTGCTACAGGGAAAGCCAGAGAAGAGCCCTAGCTCTGCTCCCCCAGCACACGTAACATTGGGGCAGCCTCTTTATTGCTCTGGCCTCAGATTCCTCATGTGTCAAAGCCTATTAATGCATGAAAACCCCACCAGGGTTACACTAGGACCCAGCAGGATCCTGTGAAATGCATGTGAGCCTACAAAAAGAGCCATCAAGTTTTCCTGATCCTAGATCACCGCTGTAAGTGTGGGGAGGAAAGCAAAAAGAAACCAACATTTATTGAACCCCTGGACTGGGCAAGCCGACAAATGCTCCATGCGTGTTCTCCTGCACCGCCCTGGCAACAGCCCCACCCCATCTCCACGGCCGCCTCCCAGCATGGCCCACCCCTGGCTGTCTGGTTCCTTCTATTATAGCCAGGCCAGTAAAAATTACCTTGTTCAAGTACCATTCTGATAATATCGGTCCCCTTCTCCACACCACAAAATGTCTCTTGAATTAGAACCCCTTTTAAACCTTTTAACAACTGATCCCAAACACTTACCATTCTCATCTGCTAGTCTATTTTGTGCTTACCACTCCAGCCAAGCAAAAATTACTTTGCAAATGAATTCCATTATGTACTCTGCTTATTCACCTTGTTAAGCCAACACAAGAGCTTTGCCTGTTTCTGTTGTCTCTTTCTATAGGAATACCTCATTTATCCGACCTTCTTGGAAAGAAGCTATCCACATAATTGATCTACATAAATTAATTTCCCTCTCTACCCGAAACTTAACCATTTAAGCAGCCTTAAATCCTCTTTGGAGTAAGTCACTGTAACAGGCAAATGAAAGAATTTCTTTAACCACTGACTAATGGAAACATTTCTGTAATACATTAGAGACCCTCCCAAGCTCAGTGAACAGAACATAACGAACATCGATGAATCTTTTCCTGATGCTGCAGGTCACACTGAATGAATAATAGTAATAACACAGTGCGGGAGCTGCAGAGGTAACTGGATCAGGGGAAAAGGCCGAAAGCAGGTGTGCATTCTCTTTTGGTGCTCCTTCTCCCTGCCACGAGTTCCCCTGATGCTTACTTCCCTCCAGAAGTCCCTGCTACCCGCTCAGATTCTGGTGAGTAGACGCCGTGACACAGATTTCAGGAAGGTATAACTTGCTGTCTTTCTGGACAATTTCAAAAATGTATACGCTGGTTTTTGTCAGGGCCCTATAAATCTTTCATGAGATACAAAATAAACAAATTTTTAAAGAACACATTTCCACAATCAGCAATAAGCTGGAGTTTTCCAAATCTCCCTGCCCTGTGACTTTAAAAATTTATTTAATTTAATAAAATCTTGGCATTATAACCCTGTGATTTTTAACAGAAATCCAGGCACAAACATCATTAAAATTTGCTTCTTTAGTGCTATGAAACTATGTTCTATCTTGTGTAGAGTTGGCATGACTGGTTGCTCTTTTTTTTTTTTTTTTTGAGACAGACTCTTGCTCTGTGGCCCAGGCTGGAATGCAGTGGCGCAATCTTGGCTCACTGCAACCTCTGCCTCTTGGGTTCAAGTGATTCTCCTGCTTCAGCCTCCTGAATAGCTGGGATTACAGGCACGCACTACCATGCCCAGCTAATTTTTGTATTTTTAGTAGAGATGGGGTTTCACCATGTTGGTCAGGCTGGTCTCAAACTCCTGACCTCGTGATGCACCCACTTCAGCCTCCCAATGCTCACTCTTCTTATCATAAGCCCCTGGATGAATCATTTTATTTGGGAATAATGATTCCATAGGTTGAATCAACAGGGAAATAGTATGAAGGAAAGTGGTAAAAATACACAAACAAACCCTTTTTTCATCAAAATGCAAATCTATAATTGTGTGGGGTCAGCAGTGCTTTTGTAGTCAATGTTAATGGAAGGTTCATGGTGATCTCTCACTGCAGATGGAGCGAACCACCTGGAGGAAAATGCCCGTGTCCACTCACATATTAGACTGCATTCTTTTTGTGACAAAGGTTTTTATAAAGTCGACAGCATTGACACATGCAGGAGAATCAATCAATCTTAATTCTGCTTAAGCACAGAGGCATTTAATTGATCAGAACCTACTAAGACAAAAGAAGTGAGGCAAGAATTGTTAAAACAGACTATTATCAAAAACACTACAAATGTCTTCAATACTGTGTTCCGAAATAAGTGGCTACAAAACCACGAAGTTATTTTGCAGTTTTAAAGGTTTGCTGACTTTTTTTTTTCTGGCAACATTTTAGTAGCTTGCTTTCTAAGGGCAAAGATAGCCATCAAAAAAAACACAGGTTGCAGTGATATCGTTCATTACAGCTTTTGCCTTTTCCATTGGCTTTAGACCGAAGAGAAGGAGCAATATCCTCTAAAAGTCTGACCTGTAACCACTCTCATAAACACCTAGCTCACTCACCTTGGAGAACCTGGTAAAACAGGTAGGGCACTGGCTGACTCAGAATCTATAAAGAATTTGACAAACTGTCCTTTCTAAACGTGAATGACCTGACGGTGCTCTGAATCATCAAGACTCTTCCGTGTGCCTGCTCTTCGTTCAAGTGTAGTTCAAGTTTTTATACTTATGGCCTCTGCTTGTCAAATCGGCAGGAGATAATTAAGCAAGAGTCTAAAGAGATGGAAGTAGAGAGGTGAAATGCAAAGTGATCAAGTGGAGTCAAGCAGAAGGTGGCTTTGTTGGGGTGACGGATGCCAGACACAAGTACAAGAAAAATAAAGACTCAGGGCCGAAATGAATGCAAGCTACAGAGGAGTCACCAATCCAGAGCTGTGTAAGTTATAACTTAGATGCATTAAAAGGAACAGTCAATTCCACAAATATTTATGAAGCGCCTACTAGGTTTAAGGAACTGCACAGCTATTGTAGGGGATACAAAGATGAATCAGACATGGTTCCTGCCCTCCAGGGGTTCACAATGATGCAAGAACCCTGAAGTCGTTTTCTCGTATATGCCATACTAATGAGAATGTTAATAAAGAGCTGTATTCAGTTTTCATTGCCACCATGTTTTTTTAAATAGGGAGAAACTAGAGAGAGTTCGGAGGTGAGAGAGGAGATGCTTTCAGTGACACAAAACAGGCTCTGTGAGGAAAAAGCTAAAGGGACCCACTTATTATCTTTAAGTATATGAAAGGTTTTAGAAAAAGGAATTGAGTAAACAAAAACAAGTTTGAATGACAGGAGGCAAGATTTCAGCCAGGCCCAGGAATTTCCTGACAATCTGGTTAATAGAATACTGGAATTGGTCACTCAGGGAGTTCCAACTGCCCTTTCCTGGAAAAAGAAAAAAAAATAATGAATTGACAATTTCAAGTCATGGACATTCACCTTCCTGAAGATGGGGGTGAACAGTATCTCTGTCAAGGTCTTCAGCTCTGGAGCTCTATGCTCCTGAGGCTGGGCCAGGCTTTTCTTTTTCCATAATTCCCTGAATATCTTCTCTGGGTAAGTAGCCACTGAATGCTTCGGAGTGACCGCCCAATCTATATCCCCACCAAAAAGTGTTATACAACTACCTGGAATACAAGGTCTCATCCAGACAGCAGGGCTGGGAATCAATTCTCCAACAGCCGCGTATGATACAAGAGTCCACTTGAAACAGAGCCTACGACACCAAATACCACAAACAAAAATCTCTGAGAACTTATGCAAATTAGAAACATATTTGCATTTACAAGGGTATAAAATTTAAGTAGCAAACAGAGAAAGACCAGATCTTCTGCAAGTTAAAGATGTTAATATCCAAGGACACTTCTAGGAAAGCTTGTCATGAGTATGTTCTGCACTCAGAAACACTTTTTTGAGTCCTCATAAAGCAAATACTTCAAGAGAAAACAGGAAAATGGGGTCTTCTTGTTCTTTTTAAATTTTATTTTATTTTGAGACAGAGTCTTACTCTGTCACCCAGGCTGGAGTACAATGGCATGATCTCGGCTCACAGCAACCTCTGCCTCCCAGGTTCAAGGAATTGTCCTGCCTCAGCCTCCCCAGTAGCTGGGATTACAGGCACCCACCACCAGGCCCAGCTATTTTTTATTTTTTGTATTTTTAGTAGAGATGGGGTTTCACCATGTTGGCCAAGCTGGTCTCAAACTCCTGACCTCAGTTGATCCACCTGTCTTGGCCTACCCAAGTGCTGGGATTACAGGCACGAGCCACCACACCTGGCCAAGTCTTCCCCTTCTATCTGAAGAAAACACAGGCATGTCAGAAGTATGAACTGCCACCAAAAAAAAAAAAGGAGAAGAAAGAATTCCATCTTAAGTCAGACCCACGGTCTAGTGAGTTATGCTTAAACCTTCTTTCACTTCTCCCACCCCACAGAGTGGAGGACAGGAGTGGGGGAAGTGTCCTCAACTTGTAGAAATTGTCATTTCTACAAACCCAGAACCTGCCACAGGGCCTGGCACACAGCAGGTCCTGCATAACTGTTTGCTGAATGAATGCATTAAAGATGGGTCCTCATCTATCAAGAGGGGGAACACGTGAGGTCATATGGACGGAAGGTGCAGCGCAGTGCACAGCAAAAGTCAATATGGCCTACATCATAATGATTGCCATGACCCTCAGGCATCTGGGTTTCTTTCAGAGCAAAAATAAAGACCTTTCTATACTCTAGGTTTTTCCTTTTCTTTTTCCCCCAACAGGGAATTGCCATGCGAAATGGAACTCTTGCGAGTTTGGGCCTTTCAAGTTCACATCCCATCAGTGGTTATATAAAGTCTGCTGCCATTATTCTGAAGCCCGTCTTTGATACCAACCCAAAGTCCTTGAATTGTCATCAATAAGACTACCAGAAAGTGCGGGCGAATTACGTGTTCAGAGAACAATAAGAAACGCTCACATATCACACCCTCTTGATCATCCCTTCTTTGCTCCATACAAACCTCAAAGGTGGTTCTCCAAGGCTGGTCTCTATGGGAGGAAGGGAGAGAAAGAGAGAGACGAAGAAATATAAAACATAAAATACAAAGAATCTGAGCCACTGTAACTTAAAGAAAGCACCACATTGTCTTTTGTAGGAAAATGATGTTTAATGCATGATGAGGCAGACCCTGAATTGTGGTGGACGAGGAGCCTCCCCTCGGAGAAGGCCCTTGATGAACTACGTCCAGTGCTCCCTCACCCAGCCAGCAGCCTTGTTAAGGGCAAAGGTTATCTTTCATACTTGGGGATGCTTTCCAAGAGGCACTGCCTCTTGAAAAGTATCCGTTTCAGCTTCAGCCCCTGAAACTCTGCCCCAGTAGTTTATTTCCACATTTTCAAGTGGCACAGAAAGTGCCGCTATAGAAGAGAAATTCTCTACCTGAAACCAGCAGAAGCTCAATGCGAATAAAGAATCTGGAAAGGTCACAGAGGGGCTAAAAAGAAGGTTCTTTCTTCTATGGCTATAGGGGGTTTATTGTTGCTGGTGCCCGAACTGGAAAGGGAATTGCAGGAGATTAATAATTGAAATGTTGCTATTATTGGTTTTCTAAACTATTTGTGGGTTATTCTTTCCCTGGAGTCATCATGCCTGTAAGCAGCTCAGAAGACAGAGAGATTTAACACACACTGAGAAAAGGCCTACTACAGCCAGGGACTTTACATGTACTAGTTTCTAATGGAGTTCCTGCACAATCCAATAAAGCTCAATAATAATAATAATAATAATAATAATAACAACACTTCAGAGAAGTTAAGTAACACGCCCAAAGTCATACAGGTAGATTCAAACTCAGGTTTCTCTGATTCAAGTATCATAGCACACTGTCTGAAATCAAGGATAAAATTAAGGTACCTTACTCACTATGCAAATATGGTAAGAAGGAAAGCAGTATTTATACTTACTCATTTTTAAAATATAAAACCTAAAGACAGGAACGGATATTTTAGGGCATGTGTCGTCAAACTCTGCTAATAGATGTTTCAGAATCTCATTTCTTGGGAGACAACTTGGTAGACAGGCATCTTCAGGTCCATCTGATGATGGATTGCAGCAGGGCAGAGTCTGGAAGCCTGTGAAGTGTTCCCCTACATAAGCCAACAGTAATCAACACGGCATAGCTCAGGTAGAGGAAACATAAATAACTTGGAATTTAGGCTCCTCTCATTCAGAACCCATGGCAGTATAGACCTTGGTGGTTGGCCTTTGCACTAGATATTGAAAAAGCCTTGCTAAGCAAGTTGATGGAGGAAACACAATCACAAGGCAAATGTTTAACCTTCTAAAGAAAATAAACCTTTTTAAAAGAAGTTCAGTTCCAAATCACCAAAACAAACGTGCTGTTTATAAACCTATCCTTCAAGCAAGCCCTGAAAGACCGATTACACCTTGCCACCCATTAATTTGTATTATCAAATACACCTTATTTCAAAAACAGCATTTCTGTCTAAATCTCTGGCAGTTTAGAATGCTCCTTGAATGCATCTGGGCCTTCACCTGGCATTCCGGCCTAATGCAGTAGCACCCCTCATGTCATTGTACTTTTCCTAAGAAGAATCATGTGCACTTTTTAGGAGCTCAAAACCCACCAGGAATCCCTCCTCTTGGAGAATTCTACAGGAAAAGCTCTGCTCATTTAACATGCCCACAGGGAGTCCACGTGCTCTGATTGAGACAGGGGAAAAATCAGGTTCCCTGAACCCAGCGGATGTCACTACGGCGGGAGAAAGGAGGTCATCAGAGTCTTGGCACACTCATCGCAGTGAGTGAATGTGGGTCCTAGCAATCTAATCCTTGATTCTAGAGGTCACCTGTCTGTTCTGAGCATATCCAACAGTCTCTTTCAAAAACCCCCGGCCGTGGGCTTTCGGCAGAGTGATGTGGGCTAGTTGAGGTGGGGTGAGAAGGAAGATTAGAAAAAGAATGATAAAGGTGCACAGAGACACACCCGGAATAAAAGGGTGCACAGCGCAGGAATAATGAAGAGGGCACATGGACAAGATGGAGGGAAACCGAGGTCTGAAAAAGGCCACCACGGAGGTCACCTGAGACAGGGAAGGAAGGCTGGCAAATAAAAACAATTCATGAGACCTTTGAGATCCATGAGGATTCTTAAACATAACACCCTACACACCTGCAGTTCTTTATCTGGCTTAAGGAACTGGAGGAACAATGTAGCAGGAACCGGGAGAGGCCAAGTCTCAGCCTCCGGGGCACCGCCTACATTCCATATGGATTTAGAATGAAAGGGGCAGGAGAAGAACAGTGCGGTTCCCAAGATGGCTTTCCATAAAGTTGACAAAATACATCCCAACTCACATACCCGGTCCCTAGTAACAGGGAAACCAGCCGTCTACTATAGTTCTGAATTCAATGCCAAGTTCCTTCTCTCAACTCACCGAGAGTGTCCAGCAGAGGGAGTCTCAAGGAGGTACTTAATAAAGAGAAAATTGTTTCATTTTAACACTCTAGACAGTGGGAGCATTGACTGTAGCCCCCTCCTGTAGACGCAGATGAACAATGAATGGCCGACATGGGTTCTCCCACATGTTCACATGTCCACCGGCATGTTCTATTCTGAGTGGTGGAGTGATCAGAAATTTCGTTTTGTTTTGTCCAACGGTTAAATGGACCTTGTGTTCTTCAGAATCAAAGAGGAAAGCCCCTGGAATAACATCTCTCTGTTGCCTTCTAAACAGCCCCTTTGTTTCTAAGAGAGTCTGAAAAAAAATATTTACAGTCCATAGGTTATTTACAGCCTCGTTATCCAGGGCCTGACTGGTAACTTTATTCCGGCCAGAAATCTAATTCATTTGGAGCCCTGGAACTAATAACAGATTTTCTTTTCAGATAAGTTTTTTTTTTTTAATCAGCCTCTTATAACAGAGATAAAACTATTAATGCCTTCCCTGTCTCACTGGCCACAACTGTTCTCTGGATTTATAGGCGGATTACACTCCCCCCTCATGCCCTCCTCTGTGACACATAAACCCTGTACCCTCTCATTTGCGATTTCACCCCACAGAATATCCGAACAAAACCGAAAGAAAGCCAGGGGGACCCACGCTAAAAGTATGTGAAGGCTGCGATTTCAATGATTTCACGAGACAAACATTTGCACGATGAAACAACAGAAAAATCAGACACACAGGTTTAAAATTCCCCCTACTACAAGCACACAAAAACACATCGAAGTGTAAAAACTTAGTTGATTCTGGGTTGCTTTCTGGCTGGAAGCTGACAGAACGGACCGAAGAGAAACGAAACAGAGTGTGCGAGGCAGACCCACGGCTTCTCCGCCTCGCGTTCTTTTCTTTCTTCCTAAAGGCAGTCAAATGGGGGAAAACACCCCGACGCCAGGTGAAGGTGCACCACACAGGTCGACCCAGACTGAGCCAGAAAAACGTCTCCGCGGCTTCCCCGGCTGGAAAACCCAAAGTCCACGTACCCTTGCACACGCTAATGCGGGGAGATTTTCGCCTGTTTCATTGTTCTGCCTGGCTCTGACATGGACTTTTCATCCCTCTCCTCTCTCCCCACCTAGCCCCGCGCGTTCCGATTCCACGGCCCCCCCCCAAAATCGGAGGCTCGCGGAGAATAAAGGAGCGTGGGGTGGGCGCGGAGAGAAATGGGAAGGGGCGCGGGGCGGAGAGCGAAGTGGAAAGGAGGTGCTCCGAGAGGTAGCGTGGGGGGGGCGGTGGAAGCTGAGCCGCAGCACCTTCATTTATCGCAAATAAATAAAAAGCACAGTCACGGGTCCGCCTTCCCTGGCGCCCCTGCCCTCCCCGGGCAGCCGCCCACCCTCGCACACGCCCCCTCCCTTCCCGCGCCCCCGGCCCCTCTCCCCGCCCTGGAAGCGGCCCCGCCGGCGCCGGGTCCCGGTCATCTTCCGGGCGCGGGAGGGGGTCGCGGCCCCCTCGGGCCCCGGGTGGGGGCTGGGGCGGGCGCCGGGGGCTGCGGGCGCGGGGCCGCGGGCAGAACAAAGCTGCGGGGGCCGCGGCGGGGCGGCGGGAGAGGGGTCGGCGGGGCCGGGCGCCCCTTACCTTCGTACACGGGGGCCATCGGGGCCGGGGTGTCCGCGGTTCATGGCAACGGGGACGGGAAAGCGGCGCGCGAGCTCGGCCCCCCCAGCCTCAGTCGGAATCTGCCATCTTGAGCCTGTGTCTCCGCTCTCGGCGCAGCCGAGGCCGCCCGCGCCCGCATCACCGCCTCCCGTGGCCGGCGCCGGGGGAGGGGGCCGGGCGCGCCGCCGCCGCCGCCGCCACCGCCGCTGCCGCCCGGGCCCGGCGCGGGGGGCTCGGGGCTCGGGGCTCGGGGCGGCCGGGCGGGCGGAGCGGCCGAGGCCGAGGCGCCGAGCGGCCGCGGCCCCCGAGCGGGTCCGCGGAGGGGCGGGAGCCGGGGGCAGCGCGCGGCCAGGGCCGGCGGGGCTCAGCTCAGCATGGCTGGGCGCGGGGGCTCCGCAAAAGTTGCTGGCGGAGGGGGGCGGCGGGCGGGGGCGGGGCGCGGGGCCGGGAGAGCCACAGGGAGTCCGCGCGCAATCGAGCGCCGATGGCACGGATGCGAGGCGGGGAAGGCCGAGCCGAAGGGCAGAGCCGCGCCGGCGGCCGGAGGGGACCGCGCGGGGAGGGGCGGCCGCGCAGCGCGGAGGGACGGGGCGCGGGGCGGGCCCCGGGGAGCCGCTGGGGGGGCGGCCTGGGCCGGGCAGGCACACGGCTCCGAGCCCAGCGCAGCCAAGCCGGTCCGCAGAGGGGCCCCAGAACTTTGTGTGTGTGTGTGTGTGTGTGTGTGTGTGTGTGCACGTGTGTCTGTGCGCGCGCGCGTGTGTGTGCCAGGGTGCGAGGGTGCGCGCGTGCTGGCCCGGAGCGGAACCGACCCTAAGGAGAGCCCCCGGCTGGCAAAGTGGTTCGCCCGTCTCGCAGCCCGTTGGTTCTCGCGGAGGTAGGAGTAGAATGAATGAAGGAAAGAGTGGGAGCGCGCCGTGCTCCCAGGGAGGGCGGGTGAGTGGACGAGCTTCGGAAAGCTACACGAGGTCAGAGGCACCAAGCCCTGCAGTGCACGCCGCGGAAAGGCAGCCCCCGGGGTGGTCGCCGGGTTCCTGCCGGAATCTGGCTTCCAAGACACCCTGATCTTCGCCTCGTCGCGTCTACACTGTCCCGAGCCCCACCCTCCCCGCACCCCATCACTTGAATGGGAGCTCACAACTGTCTGGGTCCTCGCTTGTCTCAGCGCTCTCTCCGATCAGGGCTTCCGCTAAACATTCTCCAAACTCTCCCCAGCTTGGAGCCTCTACAGGTTTGCCTCTCCAGCTGTCTCCCGTGTGCTTGGATAGGATGCCCTGCCATCCCCTCCAACTTAGGAAGACTTGTTGAGTCTCCTCTTAAGCTGTTTTTAAAACTGTGGGTCGTGACACATTAATAAATCATAAAATAAATGCAGCGGACGGCAACCGGCTTTAAAAAAGAATGAAATTGAATCCAATAGAAAATATTAGAATCCACTGCCCTTAGTAAGGGAAACTATTGTTTCATAAACCTTTTGTTTCAATTATAGGTACTGGACAAGTGTACTGGAGCATGATGTCAATTTTATTTCCAACTGTGGATCGTGGGTTTAACAAAGTTGAGAAGCTATCTTTTTAAGGTGTAAAATAATCATCTCTAACACTGTATGACTTTCTTAAATACAACCCGATGATTTTCTCACTACTTCATATCCTTTCCGTTCTCCATCCTCTATTCCCCCCCAAAAAGGCAAGCTGTTTCCCACTTCGTTAGTGGCACATCACAGCCCCTTCCTCTGTGTGATCTTGGACTCCGCCGTCTTCCTTGCCCCCCACAATCAATGCTACACTTCCTACCACTTCTCTCAACCTAATGCCATTCTCATTTGCAGAATCCTAGGCTACTGTTGCTGAAAAGGACCTCAGAGGTCATCTGGGCCAGCCCTGCCCTTTGAGAGTTGAAGAAACGAAGTCCAGAGAAGTAAAATCTGTTGTCCAATATCACACAGTATTGAAGCTTAGGAACAGGTATCTTCTCTCACTCTGGTGTTCTTTACTCCACACCTGTCATTTATCTCCTTCTCTTCTAACCTCTCTGCAATCTTTAACCAGTCTCCCAAACTTTAGTTTTGGCTTAGGTCCTAAATACTGACATCTTCATTATACGTGGTTCTGGCCATGCCATGCTCCTGGCTAACATCCTCTAAGGACTCAGCCTCTGCAGGTGGGGTTGAGTTTTCTAGTGCGTTGGCTTTTCATCAAGGCAGGGGAGTCTTAGTTTAGCTTTCTAAGGACATGAGTTCAGCAAGGCATTGCTTCTCTAGCCAGACTGGTTTACTTGTAGTCCACTGCCAGCATCACCCATCACTGTCGTTGTGCCTTGCCCAAGCTGTCACTTTCCCACCCACTGTCCCAGAGGGGTGCCTTCTCCATCTTCTCTTTTTAACCAGCTTCTACCTGTGCCTGGCTCACCTCCTCCACAAAACAGTCCAAGGTAGCATGGGAGTAAGTCAAACCTAGGTTCAAATCCCAGCTCTTCCACTTAACTATGTGATCTTGGTCAAATTGCTTAATCTTTCTGAGCCTCAGTTTCTGTATTTTGATTATGAGAAAGAAGAACAAGAGTAACGTTCTCCTTTTTCATCTGTAAATCTCTATCTCAGCCTTCACCACACAGGTATGTAACTCCCTGCTGTCTCTCTGCCCCTTTCTAGTGCTGGGCAATAGAACTTGCTGCCATAAGGGCAGTGTAGCTACTTATGTTTGTAGAGCCCAAGAATTGTGGCTAGTATGACTGAGGAACTGAATTTTTTATTTTAATTTTAATAGCCACAGGTGGTTAGCGGCTACCATTTTGGACAGGGTATCTCTAGACTGTAAGCTCCATAAGGACAGAAACCACGTTTTTCTTGCTTGGTATTGTACATCCAGTAACTGTGCATTGCCCAGCACATGGTGACTACTGCACGTGTATTTGTTGAATGGATGATAGCTGCAATGTGTTGCGTGCTCTCTGGTGTCCAGCACAATGGTAAGAACTTGATAAAAGGCATTTCATATAGTCCTCACCACAGCCGCTGAGGCTGGGTTAGATCAGAGAGAGTTTTGTATACAGCGTAGACACATAGTAGAAGTTCAGTAAAAGTTATTATTATTCTAACACCTCCCTGCGACCAACTCCACTGACTTTTGTCTCATCCTTCCCTAGGCTCACAGAACATTTCCTGGCTGTTGCTCACTCTCTGTCGTCCACAGGGTACCCTGTGTTCAGAACTTGTTTGGCAGCATCTTGCTTTATAGGTCCCTGCTTTGTAGGACTGCCTCTGAACTCAGCACTGACCAGCATTCAGTAACTGCCTCTAAGTACATCCCAGCTGCTGTCTAGCAGTGAGTGATTCTAGGCAGTCTGAAAATGAAGGTCACTTGTATCAACTGAAAACATTTTACAAGTAGTCTGCCTCCATAAGAAGGTAACCATCTTGGGCAAGGAAATAGAGTCCCATGAAAGGGGAACAAGAGGGAGCCATACAGACAGAAGCTCACCTCCTCTTTGGCCCACCATGACTGAAGCTGTATGCATGTGATGCAAAACTTGCATTCAGTTGAGCTAGCATAGTTGGTGTCATATAATGGAAAATTATTCTTGAAATGAGCCTAGGTCTTCTTTCATGAATTGGCAGACTGAGTATAGTAATGGTCTCCTTTCCCTCTGGTGACTGCAGTCAAATGGCAGCAAGGTATAAACCTAACAGTGAAATGTCACTGAAGGAGAGCATGGGAGCTGGCAGGAGAGACGATCTGCACCAGAGCCTGGGCAGCACCAGTATTTGAGGCATGCGAAGAGGAAAAAGGGCTCCCCATGGAGGAGAGGGCAGAGAAATTAGAGGACAGCCAGGACAGGGGAATTCCTCAACATCCCAGCGAGGTCAGCAGTGCTGTATGCTATTGAGAGGCCCACATCAGATAAAAGTGGAAAGGCAGCCAGGTGCAGTGGCTCACTCCTGTAATCCCAGCACTTTGGGAGGCCAAGGTGGGTGGATCACCTGAGGTCAAGGGTTTGAGACCAGCCTGGCCAATATGATGAAACCTCGTCCCTACTAAAAATACAAAAAATCAGCCAGGTGTGGTGGCAGGCGCGTGTAATCCCAGTTCCTCGGGAGGCTGAGGCAGGAGAATCACTTGAACCCAGGAGGTGGAGGTTGCAGTGAGCCAAGATCACGCCACTGTACTCCAACCTGGGCAACAAGAGCAAAACTCCGTCTCAAACAAACAAACAAAAAAGGCGGAAAGGCATTCACTGGATTTAGCCACAGGAGTTGCATTAGTGACTTTGGTAAAACTAGTTTGGAGGAAATATCATTTCTTAAATTCCACCTGAAAGAATGTGTCCTGTTTTATGGGTGGAGATGGTAGAAGGATGGGGAGAGCTAGGCAGGTACCAGAAGAGAACACCAGAGAGTGCTCCAAGCAGAGAAGGCATAGCCAGTCATGGGCCTGAGACAGTGAGAGGGGTCTGGGAGCTGTCCCATCTGGCTAGAGACAGTGTGCATTGTATTTTATTTCTTTAGTAAATACGTTAGCATTCAGTGTTCTAAGGAGTTTAATCAATCGTTTAATAAGTCACTTTTTTTGTTTGTTTTTGTTTGTTTGTTTTGCCATACATGGAACTCTAGATTTCCAAAATACCATTTAAATTCAGGGTGCTTTGAGAAACAATAATAAAGGCAAGAAAACGGAAAAGGATTTAGTAACCGTCTATACCAGTTACTCTCCTTAATCTGCCTTTCTACAGAATGGTACAAGGCACCTCTTTCTCTGGAGCTGGTAGAGTGAATATGGGGCGCTTTGACCTCATTTCAAGTTCATTTTACTTACAGAACATGGAACAATGGGTCTTTGTTTTTTGTTTTTTTCATTTTTGCCTATAGTTGTGAAAATGCACAACATCACAATATCTTCAAGGCCACAGGATAGAGGTAACCCTCTTTTTGGTATATGCATTTAGGTGTGTATGTCTCTATTACTCTTAGGGTGTTCATAGCATGATGCCTGTGTGGCTTGTATCTTATTCTCACTTGGAGTATGTTGCTCATATTTCCCTGACAGCTCTTTATTTTCTGTGTCTGAGACTGTGGTTTCTCTCTCGAGGATGTGCCTGGGGGAGGTAGGTCACTATCTCAAGTTCTGTCTTTTGATATCACACCTCTTTTTTGGTCTCTTGCTCTATCTCTATTTTCCTCTCTTTCTGACTGTGTCTGATTTTCTTTTTCTCTGTATCTTTCTATCTTTTCCACACATTCTTTATTTCTTCTGCCTCTCCTTTTCTTATAATTCTGTTTCTTAACAAGTCATAATAGAGACCTATTTTTGTTTGAATTATTCTTAAGAAATCACCTTGTCTTTCTGCTTTAAAGCTTTGATCGGTTTCAATGATACAATTTGTAACAGAGTAGTATTTAATAACAAGACTCTAACTGAAAGCTTCAGTGACAAGACATTACACTCACAGAGAATTTAAAAGAGTAGACATTGCATTCCAATGAGGACTACAGAGCTGTGGCTTTAAGGGCAAAGGGGAGAGCGAGGCTTGGCAGGGCAAAAGGAATCTGATTGTGGAAATGGCAGTCTTGGAGAAATTACACTGACAAAATCAGGGGAATAGGGAAATATCATTCATTTTCTGCTTCTGTTCCCAGAAGAAAAATGATCAGACACCTGAACAGGGGTGCAGGAAGAGCAAAGTGATGCCATAAGAGCATTCAGCAGACAGGAACTACGGCAAAAAAAGAAAACGCAATCAGCCTATGAATGAAAAGAAGCCGTAATGGGCATGCACAGAAGGTAGGGTGATTTAGTTGGAGGTTGCAGGAATGGCAGATTAGGATGGATTTGCACACGAGAAGCAGTTCAGAGAAGCAACCCAACCCTGCAGAGAAATTTCTGTGGTGATGGGAAGTAGGTAACAGCTTGGTTTCCCTGACCTGCCGTCCAGGCTGAACTCGGACAGATAGGCAGAAATGGTGCAGAAAGAAGCTTGGGGGTTGAGGTAGAAATAAAGGTAGACTGAGGAGAGCTCTTTTAAAAGCATACAGGTCGTGTTAAGCCAAGTTAAGCCTTCCTCAGTCATGAATCAGTGGACCTGTGCATTGCTGTGCAGTGTGAAGTTTCAATTGTGAGGTTTCCTCCCACTGACATGAAAGAGCTTGCTCCTATGTGGCCAGCCCTGGAGGGGCTTTACTGTCATGCCAGAGGACTGTTAGGACTGACTCTTTGCTCCGAGGTTGCCAGTGGCTTCTTAGATGCCCAATCGGGTGCCCTTTCTCAGCCCTTCCCCTGCTTGATCTCTAAGCAAACATGAGCTAGACACTGTTAATGACCTCACTCCTCTCAAACCGCTCCCCTCCCTTCACATGCTTGTTTAGTTTTTTTTTCTTTTAACATTCCTAGTCATACCTTCTCTCCCCTCCCTCCCTCCCTCCCTCCCTCCCTCCCTCCCTCCCTCCTTTCCTTCCTTCCTTCCTTCCCTCTCTCTGTTTTTTTTCTTTCTTTTCTTGTCTTTCTTTCTTTTTCCAAGAAAGTCAATTCATCAGCCAGACATGGTGGCTCATGCCTTTAATCCCAGCATTTTGGGAGGCCAACGTGGGCAGATCACCTGAGGTCGGGAGTTCCTACTGGCCTGACTAACATGGTGAAACCCTCTCTCTACTAAAAATTAAAAAATTAGCCGAATGTGGTGGCATGTGTCTGTAATTCCAGCTACTCAGGAGGCTGAGGCAGGAGAATCTCTTTAACCCGGGAGGCAGAGGGTGCAGTGAGCTGAGATTGTACTATTCATTGCACTCCAGCCTGGGTAACAAGAGTGAAACGGTCTCAAAAAAAGAAAAGAAAGAAAGTCAATTCATCAAGTGTTCAGCTACAGCTTACTATGTGCTAGATTCTGTAGCAGGAGCTGGGAGTATAAAAGGGAATACGCCACAGCCCTGGCTTTCAAGGAGCTCAAATTCAAAGAAAGACCACCAAGCAAGGAGCACGATACAATATAATGAGTGCAGCAGTGAAATGGATGCATGTGGACAAAAGGTAGCACAGAAGGACAAATGGCAAGGAATGTGTCTGGGGTGGAGGAGGTGACGTGTCTGTGCCCTGCACTGTGAGTCTGGCAGGGGACAGCAAATAGGATAGAAAGGTATGAATGCCCAGGATCTGTAAGAAATTATAATATTGCTAAACATGCAAAGCAAAACTGAGACAGCGGTCGAGAATGACGCTGGAGATTGTATGCCAAGCTGAAGAACTTGTACTTTATTCTGTATGCGCCAGGTGTGGGGAAAAAAATGAATTCAATTTTGAACATGTTGAGTCTAAAGTACCTATGAGATATTCAGATAGGGATGCTCAGTTGCCAGGTGGGACTGGAGCTCAACCAAGGGTTTTTAATGGGAGATAGAGATTGTTCTGAGGTGAGATCACACAGGGAGAGGTTACATGGCAGCGTTTCTCAAAGTGTGGTCCTTGGGCTGGCTTTCTAAGGATGCAGACTCCTCAGGCAGAACCCCAAACCCACTGACTCAGGAATCTCTGGGGGTGGCACCCGGAAATCTGCATTTTGAATTTACTCCCTAGGGGTTATATTTACACAGAGCAGTTCGATAACCACTGGTGTGGAGGGAGAGGCTAAGAGGCTAAAGGAGGGAACTGGGAAGGGAGAAACCTGATCATTTAGGGGCCATGTGCTTCTCCCCTCACCCCCTTTCTTGATGGACTGAATCTAAGTTCTCTCCTCTTCCGTCTCTGCTCGCTCTCTTGGCAAACTCATCTCCAGATCTCTGAGCCTGGTATTTGAATTGACATAGTCCCCTTAGCTCTTGCCCCACATTTCCACCTGCTTTCTTGGACACCTCTACCAAATGGAGCTCATCTCCTCCCAAACCTGCTTCTGGTAAACAATGACCACCTCCTAGTCCTTCAGCTCCAGCCATTGCAGGTCAATGCCAGGACCCGTTGTTTTTTGTGTTGTTTTGCGATAGCTTTGTACATTCTTCCCTTCCTCTTCATTTCTCCTGCCAGTACCTGGTTCGGCCTATCCCTACCTCCTCCTTAGACTGCTGCACGATTTTTTTTTAACCAGGTGTCCCTGACTCCAGTCACTCCCTCTTCTTTAATTGACATAACTCACTGTTGACAACGTTGTCTTCCTGCGTGCTGCATACCATTGCTCAGAGATGTTCAGAGTCACCATATTGCCTGCATAATAACCTTACTCACCTCAACCTGACATGTAAATCCCATCGTGACCTGCCCAAAATTCCTTTCCCAATCCATTTCCCACTCTTGCCTCTCATGCATCCTAAGCAATAGCTGTACATCTTTATCTTTGTACATGCCCAGAGTGTCCTCAACTCCACATCTTCCCCATCCTTTAAGACCCAGTTCACATACTGTTTCCTTCATGAAGCCTTTCCTATTCCCCAGCCCACATCCCCAGAGGTAATTTATCCTTTATTCTCCCCAAAGCATATTTTACATGTTTCTGCTGCATACATTTTTTCCTCTCTAGTATTAGAGATTTTTGTTTTGTTTTTCAATGTCTTGCCTTTCCCTCTATGGAAGCAGTGAAACAAGGACTGAACATCAGGGAAATTCGCTCCATTACTTTTTTTTTTTTTAGACAGAGTCTCACTCTGTCACCTGGGCTGGGCTGCAGTGGCACAATCTCGACTAACTGCAACCTTTGCCTCCCCCCGGGTTCAAGCACTTCTGCCTCAGCCTCCTGAGTAGCTGGGATTACAGGCACTGGCCACTACACCTAGCTATTTTTTTGTATTTTTAGTAGAGATGGGGTTTCACCATGTTAGCCAGGCTGGTCTTGAACTCCTGACCTCATGATTTGTCCACCTTGGCAAATCCAAAGTGCTAGGATTACAGTCGTGAGCCACTGCACCCCGCCTAGGTTCATCACTTTTAACTGGATGATGATAGGGAAATGAGTTCATTTCTCTGCACCTCAGTTTTCTCATCTGTAGAGTGGGATAATAATGTCTACCTCATTGGTAGAAATTATTCATATGAAGGAAGGGAAAGATAGACTATACAAGACCACAAAACACCACAGTGCCAGGTATGACGGAGGCACTTAATAACTGTGTACTGAATCTATGAGAAAGAATATACTTCTAGACAGCTTTGAACAGTTCTGGGAACATAATAATTAAGTGATAGAATGCAAGGAAGAATTTCATTTGGGGATTATCTGTTTTTATTTTAGTGAAAAGTTTCACAAATATACATTTTAATTCTAATAGCTTCAAATCCTAATTTTATTTTTAAGCCTAGGGTTCTTTTCTTTCATGTAGTCCTGAAACTTTTCACTCTATGCGGCAGGCACATGTGGTTACCTACTTCCTAGCTCTGGTGTCTTCTTACTCAGTTGTAGAACTCTGATTTTATTTAGAGAGTAACAAACCTGCCTAAATAAATAGAAGGTAAATTATGATTGGTCTAAGTCCATTGCAGCAAATCAATCGTGTTTCTGGTGGTAGTCATGTGACCCAATGAGACAAAAGGTAAAACTTAAAGGTTTCTGAGAAAGTGTCTCCTTTTCCATAAAAGTGCATTCCATGGGAAGGGGTGATTCATCTCCTTTCCCTCTTCTTCAGCTGTATCATAGTCTGATGGGAAGCTTTGGGTAGAATCAATTAGAGTGACATCTTGCAGGTAAGGAAGTAAACTGGCCTTGGAAACATTGACCTCCAGCCTTATTGAGAAGAGAACTGTTTTTATGAAGACACCTTTAGCAAAGCATCCCATGACTTGCAGCTAACAGCATCTTAGACATTTTAAGGAAGAGTTTAGTTTTGTGATTTTCTTGTTTGTTTTTTTGTTTGTTTGTTTTTGAGATGGAGTTTCGCTGTTGTTACCCAGACTGGAGTGCAATGGCACGATCTTGGCTCACCGCAACCTCCGCCTTCTGAGTTCAAGCAATTCTCCTGCCTCAGCCTCCCGAGTAGCTGGGACTACAGGCGTGCACCACCATGCCCAGCTAATTTTTGTATTTTTAGTAGAGATGGGGTTTCACCTTGTTGACCAGGATGGTCTTGATCTCTTGACCTCATGACCCACCCGCCTCGGCCTCCCAAAGTGCTGGGATTATAGGCATGAGTCACCGCGCCCGGCCTGTAGTTTTGTGATTTTCTTATAGTGTTTATCACCATCTGTTTATAGATCTTTTAAAAATAATTCAGCAGCTTGAAAGTGTAAGTTAAAAAAAAAACAAATAATTTTTTGTCATAGAATTCTGAGGATTTTTGCATGGATATGAGAGATGAATTTGAATTTTTAAAGAATTTCTTTTGGCATAAGGCCGTATCTTTAGCTCACATTCCACTTGCCCTAGGTGATACACTTCATCAACTTTCAGAAGCTGCTGATTTGCTTTGCTTATCTTTTCTTTAGGAGACGTACGCTGCCTGGACTGCCTGGCTGATGTGAGCTAGTTTGTCTGCTAGCCAGTTTGAGTTGGATGTTTAAATAGGAGGCAGAACAACAACAGGTAAGATTTTTTAAAATATCCTTGAATTTCTTTGTGTTCTATTGACATTATTATGTTGATTACACACTTCCAAATGCAAAGCCCTGTGTTAAGTAGCCAGAGAGGGGAAAAGCGATGGGCAGCTGGGAGAGTGGTGACTAACAAGGTGGCGCCACTGGGTTGCCGAGTCTGAGGGTTGGGCGAAGCCAGGGCAATGACTGTGATGGCCAAGGAGAGCAAGCTGTAGAAACTTGGGTCCAAAGGGCCTTGCCTGAAACCTACCCTGACGATCCTATTTAATATTGCAACTTGCCCGTCCACCCTCACTGTGCTCTAGTGTACCCCATTTTCCCCTTACCTGGTGTTCTTCACCATTTTTCTTTTCCTTGTGGATTCTTCTGCAGTCTGGTGAAGGCTGGGGATGCCCTCTCAGAATAATGTTTCTAAATGCATTGAAAAACAGATAAGACTACAAAAGAAGTCGATTGTATTGAGATACAGTTACTAAATGTGTATTTCTTTACTGATACAATTTTGAGAAACAGTTACTAAATGTATGTCTCTTTATTGACACATGAAGTAACAAGATTTAGCCACAGGTCCAATAGCTACAAAGTAGTGATGCATGTAAATAACAGTTCAAGAAATCAGCAACAACTGTCAACCTGATACAAAGTATCTGTGATTTCAATTGGTAACAAAGTTATAGGTATTGCTGTGGCTTCTCACGTTGGTTGCCTACAGTCAGATTTGAAGATTTAAGACTAATGAAAATGAAGATGTCATTTTCCCCCCTATCTAAGTTCACAGATCCCCTGAATTCTATCCATGAACCCCTTATAAGTCTGGAACTCCAGGCTAAGAACCCCTGCCCTTACTTTATTCTGCCACATTTGCATAGTATTTATCCTCTTCTAACATCATTTATTACTTACTTATTTATAAAGTTTATCTTTAATGGTCTGATTCTATTAGAATGTAAGTTTCACAAAGTCATTGTTTGTTTTGTTCACTGATATATTCCAAGTGTCTAGAACAGTGCCTGGTACTTCCTAGAGGCTCAATAAATACTTGTTGCATGAGTAAGACGAGAATGCACCAGCATCTGGGTCGAGGCAGAGAAGCCAGGTCCATGGTCCTTCTGTATGTGAGGTCCCGTGCAACTGCACCCATCAAACCACCTGCTACCCAATTCTCTTGCACTTTGGAGGGAGGGAGCCAGATTGCTCTGTGGAGGTGGACTGGGAGACATTGAGTTTTGCCCATGGCACCACTGGGATTGGATGTGTGGAGGAGAAGAGGAAAGGCTTAGGGCTGGGAAAGAAAAATGGAGATGGCACATGGAATGACCATGCCCTAGGGATGGCCCTACCCCAGACGGGGGCCAGGTCTTAGCCAACAGTTAATACAAATTATATTTGGACAAATAGGTTGGTCCTGGACTGGGAAGGGCCTTTAGTGCCCAGCAGAAGTGTTTAAATCTATTTCCACAAGCAACAGAGAAGCACTGAATATTTTTGAGCAGGAGTCCCAAGTTGGTAGAATGAAAGAAGGGCTAGAAATAAGAGCTGTAAGATATTGAGTGTGAGTAAGTGCCCACCTTATAAATCATTAGCAAAGTGAGATATAACCCTTTCTCTAATTCTGTATGAGTGACATCCCCCAATCTGGTAAATGAAGGTCCTTAGTGTGGCAGGGTGTCATCCTCACTTTGTTTAGCATCCCCATCAGACATTCATGTTCACCTTTTGGCCTTTTCAATAATAATTTCAGAAGTTGTAGAAAATGCTTATACTTTTAATATGTTTAATGCCTCTCTCTCTCTCCCACAGGGTGTCGTGATCTGTTGCCCAGGCTGGAATGTAGTTGCAATGGCATAATCACAATTCACTGCAGCCTCAACCTCCTGGACTCAAGCAACCCTCCTCCCTCAGCCCCCTGTAGCTGGGACTACAGGCATGCACCACCATGGCTAATTATTATTATTATTTTTTTTTTTTTTTGAGACAGAGTCTAGCTCTGTCACCCAGACTGGAGTGCAATGGCACGATCTCAGCTCACTGCAACCTCTGCCTCCCAGGTTCAAGTGATTCTCCTGCCTCAGCCTCCCTAGTAGCTGGAATTACAGGCGCCCGCCACCATGCCCAGCTAATTTTTGTAGTTTTAGTAGAGATGGGATTTCACTGTGTTGGTCAGGCTGGTTTTGAACTCCCGACCTTGTGATCCACCCATCTCAGCCTCCCAAAGTGCTGGGATTACAGGCATGAACCACCATGCCTGGCCATGACTGACTAATTTTTAAAATTGGTTTGTAGAAAAATGGTCTCACTGTGTTGCCCAGGCTGCTCTTGGACTCCTGGGCTCAAGCAATCCTCCCACCTTGGCCTCCCAAAGTGCTGGAATTACAGGTGTGAACCATCTCACCGGCCTTTAATCTCCTTATTAATGAAATATCTGACCCAAGGGCTAGGATTTGATGGTCTTTTTAGTATGACCTCAAATCACTATATTCTGTAAGCACCTTTTTCTCTTTGAGTTGGAGTCTCTATTGCCCAGGCTGGAGTGCAGTGGCGTGATCTCAGCTCACTGCAACTTCTGCCTCCTGGGTTCAAGTGGATTCTCCTGCCTCAGCAGGAGAATAGCTGGGACCGCAGCTGCCTGCCACCACACCCAGCTAATTTTTGTATTTTTACTAGCAATGGGGTTTCACCACATTGGCCAGGCTGGTCTGGAACTCCTGACCTCAAGTGATCTGCCCAGCTCGGCCTCCCAAAGTGCTGGGATTATAGGCATGAGTCACTGCACCCCAGCCTATAAACATGTTTTCTTCTGGAGTGTTTTCAGGTCCGTACATGGAGTCCTAGGTCAATGGCTTCACCAACTCACACTGAGCCCTAACCGTGGAATCCGAGCAACATCATAGTTAGGTCCAGGGGCAAAATACCAAAGTCATCTGTTTCTGGGTTCCATTATTTCCTCCTCTCCATACATTACGCATACAACGGTTTTCTTTTATCACACATTCCTGTGACCAAGTGGCAATCATTCTACTCCAAACTGCTGCTACACAATTTGAGGCTTGCTAAATTTGCCTTAGCCACAAAGCTGATGGAGTGTTAGTTTAACATGTAAGTAGGGACCATGAGGATCTTTCTGGGTAACATTCAAGCTACTCCTCCTACTGCGACTATTACTACTAAATGCATTATTATGATTTCGGTGACAGACAAACACTAAATGCTAACAGCTAAATGCTAACAGCCTAACACAGTGAAAGTTTGTTTCTCATCCTTACAACAGTCAGTGTAGGGGTTTAGCAAGTGGCCTTCCACATAGTAATTCAGAGACCCAGGCTTCCCTCACCAGTGAGTGGGAACTTCGGAGGCCTTCACTTCCAGCTGGCGGATAGAAGGGGAGAATGGAGGTTATCCCCATGGGAGATTTTTAGGGGCCAGGCCTAGGCATGGAGTGCTGGTTCCCTCTGCACTCCATGGAACACAGCTCAGTGACACAGTGACATGGCCACATCTAACCGCAGGGAGGCTGGGAAATGAGCACATATGTTGCAGTTACTAAAAATAATGTCTGAGTTATACCCATTGGCCAAGGGGAAGTGTCCATGATATATTCGTGAGAGGAGTAATTTTCAGTGTATGGTGTATTATGTAATATTAATAAAAAGAAATGTGAAAATCCCGGACTATCCTGCATATCTTTGTAGAATCCTAGCGGAAGGTTCAGGGGGCTGTACACCCCAGGCCCCCACATTTATTACTATGGAGTTGGGTGTGGAGGCAGTGGCAGAGACAAGATTATTAACTTTACATATCTTTGGAGTGTTTTTTTTTTCATTTCTTGCAGTGATCACATACTTTGGAATTAAATTTTTAGGTGTAATTTTAAAGTATGGGTGGTAGTCTGTGAAATTTAGAAACAAAGAAGCAAAGAAGAATGTGACTGTGCATCTCCATGCTGTAATATTTCTTTCCTGTGGGAAGATATTTTCTGAAGCAGAGCGGAGCTTGTGTGTACCAGGCTGTGCTACATCCTAGAGAAAGCACACCTCAAGACTGATTCCACGTTTAGCAAGTTATCTCTACATTACAGTGATAATTTACCAGTTTTGTGCATATCATATCATGCACATAAGTGCCCTGGACCTGAATATTCCTGTCCTAAACGGATATACTTCTCATTCTAAATTAATATATTGATATTCTGTTTTGGGGAAAATAAAGCTAGTGTGGGGTTTGGTAGAGATAGATCAGCACATCGGATCCTGATAACTCTTGAGTAAACTGGTAAAATAGAGTTACTGAAACCACAAGGCTAAGACCTGGACTCCTGGCTTTACAGAGATTCTTCCGGTATCCAACCCTTGGGAGGCTGAAAGAGCCAATTCACCTCGCCCATGGTCTGCATGCTGCTTTGTTTACTGGCTTGCATTATTGCCTACCTACTTGTCTTTATTCTTTCTGAATTTACCCAGCATCTAGATATAGTTTATTGACAACAAAAACAAAACAAACAGATATAGAACACAGTGATGGGAATATGGGTGGTTCTTGAAGGACTGCACGAAGCACAGTTGGACAAATAGCCAGTCCTCTTCATCTGCAGGGATGTGGGCGGGGACAGGAATCAGACTCCCTGTCTGTTTTTACTTACTCATAGGAGACTGAGTTTGTGCTTCATTGGGTCCTAGGCTTCCAAGTCGACCCTGCTGCAAAGGATGAATGAGGGAGGAGAGAAGGGCTTTACTTTCACCACTGTCCTTCAAAACAGATGTCCTAGAAAATGCACTTTTAAAGTTGCAAGTATCATTTGAGACCCAGATAAGAGAATAGCAATAGGAAACAAAGCAAGATGGTAAAGAAAAAGAAGAGCAACAAGAATGCTTGGTGCAACGTTATCTGACCCAGGCAAAGAAGGGTCATGTGGCTGTTTGTCTGTAGCCTGCTTGGATTCATGGCTAAATAGACAAGATATTCAGGCCAGATCACCAGTTTTTAGATATGTAATTGAATGGTTATCTACTATGGGAATGGCATAAACTAAAAATAGTACAAAACATCTCTAGAAATTTTGTGTCATTAACACAATTTTAAAAGTATTTATTGGGCCAGCTGCAGTAGATCACACCTGTAATCCCAGCACCTTAGGGAAGGCTGTGGTGGGTGGAGCAGTTGAGGTCAGGAGTTCAAGACCAGCCTGGCCAACATAGTGAAACCTTGTCTCTACTAAAAATACAAAAAAAAATTTGCCGGACACGGTGGTGCCCTTTTGTAGTCCCAGCTACTCAAGAGGCCGAGCCAGGAGAGTTGCTTGAAGCTGGGAGGTGGAGGTTGCAGTGAGCCAAAATCCAACACTGCACTCCAGCCTGGATGATGGAGCGAGACTCTATTAAAAAAAAAAAAGTATTTATTGAACACCTGCTCTGTGCCAAACACTGTTTTAGTGAGTGGCAAACAACAGTGAACACCTTTGTACTAAAAGGCAAGACAGAGACCCATCAAAAACAAGGGAGTGTAGTTTGTGATGCTGAGCCAAATGAAAGACTCTTGTTATAAATTTGATGGAGTTGTAGGGAATGGGAAGATCATAGTCTGCTGAAATAGTCAAAGAAAGCTTACATTTTAAGCCAGGCATTTAGGGATGGATTTGATTTAGAAAAGCAGAGAGGAAGAGGAAACATATTTCATATGAGATGGAATAGCATAATAATGAGAACATTTACAAAGTGCTTTACAGTTTGCAGAGCATTTTCTCATTCATGATTCAGAGGTGAAAATAAGCCAAGCTTTTCAGAGCCAAGTGTTGAGACCAATCTGATTTAGTAGAAAGTAATCGTTCCTCCATACCTCTCTCTCCTGTCTTCTCTTTTCCGATCAGGGTTCATGGTTTCATATTGACTTTTTAATCCAAAGCCCTTTTATAGGGGATTTTTTCTACAAAAAAGTGGCAAAGAGAACAAGAAGGTGGCATTTCTTAAAGAAAATGAATCTTGATGCTTGTGTGGGTATGTGTATGATAAACGTGCATGCCTGTGTGTGTCTGCTAACAGTTGGCACAAGACCTTTTTTTTTTTTTTTTTTGGCCTGTTTTTTTGAGATGGAGTCTTGCTCTGTCACCCAGGCTGGAGTGCCGTGGAATGATCTCAGCTCACTGCAACCTCTGCCTCCTGGGTTCAAGTGATTCTCCTGGCTCAGCTCCTGGGTAGCTAGGTTTACAGGCATGCACCACCACACCAGCTAAGTTTTTTATTTTCAGTAGAGATGGGGTTTTACCAGGCTGGCCAGGCTGGTCACAAACTCCTGACCTCAAATGATCCACCCACCTTGGCCTCCCAAAGTGCTGGGATTACAGGCATGAGCCACTGCACCTGGCTGACATTTTCTGTATGGGATGAGCAAGACATTCTGTGCTTTATAATCCCAGTGTAAATACCTCCTGGACTTTGAAGGACTTCCCTTTTCTACATCTTCTCCTCTTAACTCAAAGTAGACCTGTTCCTCTTCCCTGTTTCTCTGCCCCACCTCCCTTTCACACCTTTCCTGGTGCTGTCTGCTCCTCTGCCCACCTAACCAGGCCCTACCGTCTCCCTTTTGTTTTCAGACCAAGCCCTACCTCCTTCATGAGCTCTTCTCCAGTTACAAATGCAACTGATGATCATTTGCACCTCTCTTTATCTCTGCAGTAGTTCTTAATTTTGGGGGGGGGGGGGATGGTGGTAAATTATATCCCTTTAAGAATGTGATGAATGTCTTGGACCCTGGACACATATACACAAAAAGTATGTGTCTAATCTCAGGGTATCATGTTCCCCTGAAAACATTGCTTTTCTAGGTCACATTTGTTTGGAATGAACCATATACTTCAATGCTTTAAAATATACTTTTATGTCATTTTGCCTAATATATGCCTTCATAATTAGACTAACCTTGAGGAGAAAGCTGTTGTAGAATTTTTTGGTATCCTCATAGAACTTGGTTAAATGTAGAGCACATAGAAATATTTAACGGAAAATGAATGAATAAACCAACTAGGGTTCATCTATGCAGTGGCATAGCATTCAGTAATAAAAATAAGCTATCAAGCCACAGAAAGACATGGAGGGGCCTTACATGCACACTGCACTGTGGAAGAAGCCAATCCAAAAAGGCTGCATACTCTGTGATTCCAATGATGATATTCTGGCATAGGCAAGACTGTGGAGATATGAAGAAGGCAGTGGTTTCCAGGGATCTGGGGGAAGACAAAGGGGATGAATACATGGAGCACAGATGATTTCTGGGCCATTGAAACTGTCGTGTCTGGTGGATGCATGTCATTAAATATTTGTCAAAGCTCATAGAATGTACAACACAAAGAGTGAAACTTAATGTAAACTATGGTCTTGGCTGGGCACAGTGGCTCATGCCTGTAATCCCAGCAGTTTGGAATTACAAAGGTGGATCACGAGGTCAGGAGTTCAAGACCATCCTGACTGACATAGTGAAACCTCGTCTCTACTAAAAATAAAAATAAGCTTAGCCAGGCATGGTGGCACACGCCTTTAATCTCAGATACTCAGGAGGCTGAGAAAGGAGAATGGGTTGAACCTGGGAGGCAGAGGTTGCTGTGAGCCGAGATCGTGCCACTGCACTCCAGCCTGGGCAACAGAGTGAGACTCTGTCTCAAAAGGAAAACAGAAACAACAACAACAAAAAATTTGATGTTGAGTTAATGATAATGTATCAGTATTGGCTCATCGGTTGTAAAAAATGTAGCATACTAATGTAAGCTATTAATGATAGAGGAAACTGGGAGGAGGACCGGGGGTATATGGAAACGCTGTCTTCCACTCATTTTTCTGAAAATGTAAAACTGCTCTAAAAAAATAAAGCCTATTAATCTAAAAAAGGAGGAGTCATTTCCGATTTTGACTGCAGCCTCTAATGACCACTGGGATAAAGAAGAGGCAATGCCTTAATGCAGTGCATATATTTTAGCTTTTTGAAAGTTGTATCCATCATTGTTAAGCTCAGTTAAACCTGCCACTTGACATCATGTCCACACAATGTCCATTTTTAAATGAACTAACAGAATTGGTAAGATATGCTCTCCTGATAGAGACTCAGCCAATTCTAATGTCAATGAAAGACTTCACATTTAATGTATAAATTTCAACATGAAGAAAATCCATTAAAATATAATTAGTGAGTTCTACACATAAATAGAAAGAGGGCCTACCTAGACCTTGTCGCCATTTAAAAGAGTTCTTTCTTCTTTGTCTGTTTTTTGTATTTTTCACAGAAGCTTAGAGGAAGAGCCAGAACTACTCTTACCTGAAGCAGAATCATTATTTGGAGCCACAGAAAATTAGTTTAGGGAGAGTGGGTCCTGGTTCAATGTTGTGTGTTCAACTCTGAAAGAATGCAGTTGGGTGACGGACCGGGCAACTTCTCCCCTGTGGCTCTACTCCCATTGGTTATTCTGAAGTCATGCAGGGGTTTGGCCACAGTTTAGCCATTGGCCCTGATCTTAGCCATTGATCCTCACATAATAACGTCTTGTTTGGTTATTAAAGTGGCTGAATTGTTGGAATGAAGCATTGAAAAGTACTGGTATTCCATCCATCTTCACAAAGACTGTAGACTAACTTCACCATGTAGTGACTCAGCTGGTTGGCTAGAAAGTACCTCGTAAGATGG